TGTCTTTGTGTCTTTTATGTCTTTGTCTTTTGTCTGAGGCATTAAATGTTTGAGAATTTTTTTCTTTTGCCATTGAAAGGCCCATCCTAGTGAGTAGTTAAGATCTCAAAATCTGATTCATAGCAATCAATTTCTTTGAGATATAGCAATTTAGATATTGCTATGTAAAATGGCTTATTCGGTTAATAAAAACCCTAAAAAACAATGGCGTCACACACCCTGGGCATGGCCACTACTGCCAATCTAGATTTGAATTCTTACAGAACTATGTATAAGCTTTCATTAAAAATACGTTTGGCTCTCATATTTTGAATTTGAAAATCTGTCAAATTTTCATGTCTCAGATGGAATAGCCCTTTAGCTTTTTGATCATGAAGTCTGTTTGTCTGACCAAGAGTATTCCTAATGACTATTGTTGCAGAAGTAACTGGTGTTACAAGAGCTTTAGCCAATGCCATCATCATAGTCAAGTAAGCAGTTATTTGTCAGTCAACTGGTTGGTGAAAACTGATTCACCTATCAATGATGTTATTTGCTTGAGGACTCAAGTAGCACACTTGTTGTTCATGATTGGTCTGGTTCAGTATGTTGGGATCACCTGATAAGGTTGTCGTAGAGGAAACTAGTTTTAAAGGTGATGTCAGGTAATAATTACTGGGCTTTGACAAACAAAATCCCCTAGAGATTTGTTGAAATGTAGAAAATAGGGCTTGACACCACCAGTAGCCAACTAGCCACAGACTAGTAGAAATTCAGTTTTTTTTATTCTCACAAACCAGTTTGACTTAAGTATAGAAACTAAAATTTGCATGACATCTAAGTTGTCACTACCCACTTGGCTAGTAAGTTGAAAAAAATCTAATAGTGTTGAGCCCTGAGAAAAGCCCACCAATCTCAAACCATATACAGTAAGTGTTTTTTGTTACCTTGTTTTAAAACTTCCAGATATTTTTTAAGATAGTGACGTGATGTTCGGTGACGAAGGCTGTCTGGACCTAGCAACTGTAAATTCTGTCAAAAGATAATTTTATTCTTAATATAAACAATATTATTGGAAGAGGTTGAGCATGATATCATAAATTATGAAAACTGAGGTCTGAGTCAGACACAAGATTAGGTAATTCATAATAATTATGTGAAAACAAAATTCAATATCAATTGTTTTATTATACATTTTCTAAAAGTGTTCAACAATTTATGGTTTCTCTCTGAATTTGTAAAAGTTTGAGAACACTACATGGATGATGGGCTTGGAAACTATGAAGACTTTGAATTAACATGTCAATGCAATATCCACCGCAGTTATTGGGTTATCATATTATATGTATGTATTGTATGTATGTATTTACGAATATTTAAACAGGTAGCCCAGTTCAGCACTCAGCTGGTTTAAATGGGGTCCTGTGTAACACCCACCAATCCCACTCCAGGGAGGACATCCACCACACAGTAATCTTGCGCGTAGGAAATTAACATGTCCTAACCCTAACCCTGCAGGAGGCAGGGCCTACAGTTTATTCGTCCTTATCCGAGAAGACTAGAATATCTATCCACTTCTTGATATTATAGAAAGGTAGCAAATTCTCCTCAGTTATTTCAAGACCATGAGTATTGGTCCGGCCAGGGCTCAAACCCCCAACCTCCCGCACAACACAATCCGGTGCTCTAACCAATTGAGCTAACAGTCATGCAACTTCACATGCTATTGTATACTGCTTGAATGCTCTTGGCCAATCAAATTTTTCATAGTTAGTTTAATGTAGGGTATAATAATTAGAGTTCATGGAGAAAATCAGCATCACATCAGCAATTATATAAATATGCTAATTATATAAATATGCTGAATGTATGTATAACAAAGGAGCTGAAACTCCACAAAAATGAGGAGAGAGAGATGAGTTGTAAGTCTTGAAAGAGTAAGGACAGGCAAAGGTGAGGCTGGCTGATGGGAGAAAAAAAAGTCTTCGTGGCCCTAGCTCATTTTCAATATTCACAAAAATAATAGAATAACTGGGTATTTTTCAAAATCTCTGGCAACATTTCCACAACCCCATAATTAATTGTGCCCACAGTTCTTGGATAAAGAAAACTTGGTGAAAACAGAAGGTTGCCTCTGGGACCATGGCTTCGCTTCAGAAAATTATGGGGTTGTACGGAAATCCCTCCTCTTATACGCTATTCTTATTTAATGACATGTAAATGAGTGGCCGGGTATTCTGAAGTTTAGCCTAATGAACTGCAAATTGTAACATTTGCAGCTCAATGAATAAGAGGAGATGGCAAGTAGCCACCGATCGTAACCTGAGTATTACAATGTAATTACCAACGAGTACCTTGTGCTCAGCGTCCATAATTTCCGACATCTTCTCCTCTAATCCTCTGAGCTCTTCTTTCAGAGCAAACTCCCCTTTGATCATGATGGCTCGCCGAATATTTAAAATTTTCAAGCTTAGAGCCTTTTCGAGAGGTAATCTCCCGCCATTTGTTGACCTTCACCATGCACTTTGTGTGGCATATACGAAAAATCTTACTACCCTATCCTCACTCCCCTAAGGTAAAAAATACTGCTATTTTCTACGTTGGGAAGCAAATCATCTCATTTATTTGCTTGATTTTGAACTTCAAATATTCAAATATAATTCAAAATTAATATTTGACTGGTTACTGTACGCACCCTGAGCAAATTACATAGAGAGCTGCCTCTGCATTCTAGTAGGGTAGGGTAGTAAAGTTATTGTTCGTCCCGTTCTTCCAAAATGGCGGGCGGTCGTGAGAGAGCCGTGGCAGAAAGAAGCCTTGTTTGTCTATTACAAGCAGTTGAAGGTCATAGGACCATTGTAGAATTACGAAACGAGTCATCGGCAGAAGGACTGATTGAAAATGTTGACGGTTTTATGAATGTCCGAATGTCAGATGTCAAGTTTACGAAAGGAAGCGGTGGTGATATTGTCGACTTTCCGACCATGTTTATTCATGGAAGACAGATTCGATATGTTCAGATACCTGATTACATCGATATGCGAAAAGCCATCGAAGAGCAGTTGTCCAAACTGGGAAGGACGAGGAAACCTCCTCCCAGAAGAATGAAAAAGGCAAGAGGAAAAACGTGATGATTGCTACACGTGTCGGAAGGGACTAGCCGTAGAGAAATTTATCAAGTAAGCTTGATTAGATGAAAGGAGAAATTAGGAAATTAATCTTAGCCCAAAACAAGTTCACGTTACTACATCTGCTGTCCTTTTTTTCATTTATTTTTTGATCTTTTATTTTAAGTCAGCAGCTGCAGATGATCATAATCAGAATATGTTTATATGATTATTTACATTGTAACTACTTTAGAAGTGGTATTAGTATAATTTCAGAGCTGAGCAAAGAGTTTCCAGCAATCTTATTGGTCGAGCGGTTCCTTCTATGATGCTATATAAACCGCTCCACACGGTTTATATATATATATCTTATTAACCAAGCGCAAGGGCCATACTGGGAGAATATCGGCCAGAGGTCTTGACAGTACAGACCGAGCGAAGTGAGGTCCATACAAAAAAGACCGAGGGCCAATATTCTTCCAGTACGGTCCCGAGCAAGCTTGGNTGTTAAATATAAATGTGATTTGCTGTGTTCATAACTTGGAAAAAATCCTCTAAAAATAGACTTCACTGTACTTCTTTACAAAATGCTTTTACTTCTAAAAAGTCTTATATTTTTCCATGAAAAGATTGTGGAGTTTAAAATTGTTTAAAATATTTTAAATTCACATGAACATTTTTGAGAACCATAGACCCTCTCCCCTTCTGTAAATTTTCTTTTTAACTGTTGTCAAAATGATGCACTAAGCTCTGGATAATATTCAAAACTAGTGCCCAGTGGCAAGACATTGGGTATGCGTGGATGGTATGTGGTATTTTTACTGATGGAGGGCAGCTCAGGCCAGTCAAACTGAAGGGTGGTAGCATGTTTTTCTCTAAACAGTCGTCTCTTCTGTGATCTTAATTCAACGTCGATAGTGTCAGGATTCCTTTCCAGCTTTCTCCACTCTTCATAGTCAATATCTGAGTCATTGTAGAGTCCTTTCATACGAAGCCTAGGGAAGGATGAGAAGCAGAAACAATTTTAAGGTTTAGAAATAAGGTATTTCAAACAATCTGCATGGTACTGATTTTAAGTCCTTAGAAAATAAAAGACCCCAAACCAAGGCTACCCATGCCATGAAAATGAAAAGACCAATTGTTTAAGTCTTTCTTCAGAATTTGCAATGTTCAGTGAATTTTTTATATAAATTTTTGAGTGACACTGTAGTCTTTTTACAAAGCTTTTGCTGTCAGATATTCTTTATTAACCAACAATCGTTTAGTCACTGAATGTAGCATACAGTTCTCTTAATTCATAATTGCACTCCATTAACCCACCAGCTGTGATTTAAAAGTACTAAAATACAAATGGTTTGAATTTGACATTTTAGTGATACCACAGTTGTGGAAACATTTCAGTCAAGGAACAAGTTGTGATTTCAATTTTCTTCACACGTTCTATTTGATTGGGCGGATTAAAAAAATGCCAGAACCTGTTGTTTCAATTCTGCACTCTTCGTGGTTTCTTTCATGATACTACAAACTTGTCAAAATTATAGCAATTTTTAGAGAGATCATGTCATCTTGAGAAGGAGTGAAGTACTTAAAACTGACCTGCTTCTTTTCCTAACACCACTGTCAATGTCATGTAATTGCATTCTTAGCCAAGTGTTACACTCAGTGCCATGTCGACCCAGAGGCACCAATGGGGCTGGAGGGAGGTGGATTTCCTCGATTTGTTTGTCACTCATTGTATCTCCTGTGATACACCTCACCATTGTACGATCTTCCTCCAATCTTGTAGTTCCTTGAGATAATAATGGATCATCTAGTTTCTGTGTTATTGCCTGAAAATATCCATCAAATATAAGTTATTATGAGAGCCTTCTTAACTTCAGAAGTGAATTTAACAGTTGCCAGTGGTAACTTATCTAAATGATTTTGATTTGCAAAAATTTTGCTTAATAGTAGAGACTGTCAGTTAGATCTGTGTTCATCATTGGTTGTTCAGATTGTACATTGCAATATTCATGTCTGAATTGAAGACCGTTTGTGTTACTCTGCATCACTGCATGTAACAATTTTTACACTTTTCAACAATTTCATGAAATTCTGAAGCCACTGCATTAATTACTGGGTTGCCAGTTACATGTATGTTTTTACCCAAAACAACTAGGTGCGTTAATTCTTTGTCATTTCTGAATCTTTTCCTTTTTAGGTCAAAAGAAAAATCCTTAAAATGTAATGCAAGAACAGATAGTGGATGGTAGAGTGTTTTGAATCATCAAGCAATGGCAAAAGCTTCAAATATGAGTGGTCAGACTCTCAGACAGAGCTTGGCTTGTCTACTAGAGTCTTTACAGCAGTGTCTTGAACCATCAAACAATAGCAAATGCTTTAAATATGAGTGGTCAGACTCGCTGAAAACACTTGGCTTGTCTACGTCGCTGCTACGAAGGGCTAATGCTGGAAACGTCAGCTTTTGTAATCGTTAGCGTGGGCAATTTACCATTTCAACTTTGTTGTTATATCCAAATTATTTCGTTACTCCCACCGACGCAGCCCCAAACAGTTTCTTTCAAAACTATCAGCCTTTATTCATTTGTCTACTAAAGCCTTTAGGGCGTCAATGTTTACTTTGATGTCTGAAAGGTTCTCACCTTTAAGGGTGCAGGCCGGTTAGCATTAAGAACTAGTGGATCATATTCCTCAGGAGACATCACATCTAGGAATACTACACCCTGAGTGAAAAGGAATATAAATATCATGCTCTAGTGATGGTAATGACATTTACATGTGTGGTCAAGAAATTGTATCAATGCTAGTGTATGTCATAAATATATTGGTAGGCATGGTGATTTGAAAGCTTTGATAATTTCTAAAGTTCCCTTTTTCCTTCCTTGTACATCTACATCTATGGTACACTTTGCTCAATACACTTTGTAGTGGTTTGGAAAATGGCGATATGTTTCCAATTTATTGACCCTGTGATTCAATAATTGTGATAGAAAAACCAAGCTTAGTCTTTTTTCTTGAAAGTATTAGTTTTAGGAATTAATATGTTTTATTATCTTCAGTTAGGCCTAGTGTATACGTTGTGCTACAGTCGAATTTAATCCAGACGAATTTAATTCAAGGTCCTACAAGCAATTAAATTCGACGATAGCGCAACGTCTAAAACAAATTAAATTCGTCTGGTAAATTAAAGTTGTCCTTGACGTTTTATCCGTCTTGGTAAGACAGATAAAATATCGATAATGCGTCTTCAGTTTTAAAGTCCCACTAGCGTCGCGTCGAATGAAATGCATACATTTTCTTAATGTATTTCAATTTTTTTCAAAATGACACCTCCGACCAGAGGCACTGCATTTGGGAAAAGAATTCAATTTGATCGTATTGATTTCGATGCATAAAACCACGTCACCATTTATGTTGACGGAACGACAAATTTAATTGAATTAAATTCGACTATAGAGTGACGTATAAACTAGGCCTTAGAAAGACAGCAGGCAGAAATCCTGTTTTACACTCTTTGAACTATTCTTAGTTTACCCTATGAAGTCTAATTTTCCTTTAAAAAAAACACCATTGAAAATAAACATTGATATTTTTTCTCACCTTCTTGTTACTATAATCTAGGTATTTCTTGTAAATAGTCCTTTTCCTTCTATCCAAGTGTCTGTAGTTTGGGCCATTCATTTCTTCGTCTATTTTTTCCTAAAGAGAATATGTTTATCGGTTGTTTAATTGTGACACAAACATCACCATCAAACAGGATTATTTCCACTTAATGTGGTATTTTTCTGTAGTTATGATATTCTGTTGGTTTTCCAGGCAGTTACACTGTATGTGTCACTTTACACCTGAGTGAGAATTAACTGTGGCTCAGCTCTTCAAAATTTAGCTGCAGAACCTTGCACTGTAGCCAGAGTATTGCACCATAACCAGAGAACTGCACAGTAGCCACAAAATTATGTGTTTTCTCATCTATTAATTAAAACATCCAGTGTTTGTGGGCAAAAGTCAAACTGTGTAAATCAGCTTCACAAGGTTTTGGGTATAACCTCAAACACACTGCAACTAGCACAAGCTGTTTCATGGTTACACTATCATCTTCAAGCAATAGTTTTGTTGGCCCAAAGGCACTTTACACTGAACCAGTCAAATGCAATTTGACAATAGGCTGCAAATAATGGAGCTTGAACATTAGTTTATAAATAATATGCATTTATTTTACCCTGACAGGACTGTATACTTGCTCACTCCATTTCTTGAAAAGCATTTCTTTCTTTCTTCTGTCAAGAGCCTCTTTCTGGTCAATAAAGCTGTCAACATCCTGTCGATATGAAAGGGTAAATTAGCAGATGCATGAGTCAATGTTTTTGATGGCTAAAAAATGTTTGTTTGCTAACAGCCACAATCCCATTGTGTAGGATGGGGGAGCGCTAAAAAATGTTTGTTTGCTAACAGCCACAATCCCATTGTGTAGGATGGGGGAGCTGGGGGAAAGGCCAGGGGAAGAGTCGGACAACAGATAAAACTAAACACAGTCAGAATTGATAACTCAATGTTGTGGGAGGAACCATTCAGAGGAAAATTTGTAGCTTCCTCAAAACTGCAAGACAAAATGCTCCATGAATGTAACCTAGTAGCTCACTATAGAGTCTATGGCTCAGTGGTAGAACATCATAGCTCGAAATGCAAAGGGCTGAGACTTGATTCCTCCTGGGGACTTGTCAACACCTCTCTAGATAAGGCATTGGTGCACGGAGAATTTTCTGGCCTTGGCTATTTTTTATTCACTTAACTCTATTCCCTGCCACTACAATTTCTTCTGAAAACGGTACATGGCCTATTACTAATTAACCAATTACATGCAAATAGTTTCTCAACCTCTGTGGAAAGTTCAGTTGAATCCTTGTGATATTCTATCTCTGTTAGAGAAATTAGCCCATGAGAACCCAATATAACTGCATGTTATAGATGCATGCACAGTATTGGGGACTAAATAACAGACGTCAAAAAATAAACTTTGTTATTGGACACTTATGTGGTTGCTCACAAATTATTCATAATGTGGTACAAGTCAATCAGGACCAAGTGTTTTGTTTTAAGATATGAAATAAAACCATTATTTGGTTTCACTACCCTTCTAAGGGTGATCTTTACCAGTTAAGTTGTGACAAGTTGCAAACAATATGCTATCTCTCACATAATTTGCCTTTGGTTCTTTTTCTCTTTTTTTGAGCATTGTTTCAGTCATTCAACTACAAAAGAGCAATAAAAGTGTACAGACGAGCCTCTCTTATTTACAGTAGTTAAGTTGGTTAATATGCTATTTATAAAAAACTTAGTTTGAGCAATTAAGTAAAATATAATTATTTTGATCAGGTCACCAAATTTCTCAACACTTCCTAAGGTACATCCAAATTTTATGCTAGTGTGTGTCTTCCGTTTTGCGGCAAAAAAATAAAAACTAATCACTCTTCTCATGATTTCGCTGACCATATTAACGTTCCTGGTGTCAACCAACAATGCCTTTTATTGAGGTATGCTAATTAACGCCTTAAAAATAAATAACTACTGTTCTTAGTTGTCACTTTTTGTACGACGACTCGAGCCCCAACTAAATACATGGCTTAACTAACGGAACCGAAATTGCCACTTAATGTAACTAACAGGCTTACCTTTACAAAAGTGTTCTCATTATCAAGGAGCGTCGTGTACATCTTTTTAGTGGCTCGTGACTCAAAGTCGGTCCTTTCCTACGAAGGAGAAAAAGTGATTCATCGTGATGAAAACTGTAAAATACTGGAGAGTTCCATCACTATCTTCTTTGTTGATTTACGCGGTTTGAACGCACCAGGGAATAATCTCAGGTGTTAAGGCCCCTATGTGGTTGGACATTCATGCAGAGATGAGCTTTTGTCTAAGTTAATAATTAAGTATCGGATGGAATACGAGAAATTCCTTAAAGTAAATTTTCCTTTAAACAAACTCCTCTCTGGCTCAATTTTCGATATTTTTAACAATCCTTTCATTTGAAGTGAAACAGATCAATATCGCAATGCTAAAGTCAAAGTATTCCTCTGTATCGACTGTTTCGATGATGTTTATGTTAGGAACACAAGTCACTTGGTGTATTTAGAAGTTAACGGATAACGATCAAATGCTCTAGAATCTATGATTAAACTACCTGAATATTTCGAACGGATTTTTCATTCAACCAGCTTTGAATTCTGAAAGTGTGGTCTGAAGGACAGGCTGACTTGGCACTAGAAGCTCTTACTTCCGAGTACGATCCAAAAGGTTTTGGTCTTTCGACTGACGACGCCGAAACCGCTCGTCTGTGATTATGCTGCAGTAAAATCAGCCACGAAAAAATCACTCAGTATCAAGTTTCAACACATTGAAAAGGGTTGTTCTAACCATCATCATATATACGCTGATAATGTACTTAAATATAGAAAAATTATTTTGACTTCACCTTGGAGAGTTCATGTTTACCATTGTCCTCCAATAACTCGTCCACAATATCGTACGTATGAACCGAAATTCGGCCGTTAACGGGTCGTTTTGGTCGAGACATCACTCTGCTAATTTGCTGCCTCGTCCAGTTTAATCTCACGCCTCACGATGACAATTCTTTCCCAAACAAACTACCGATCGATCACTAAAAAGTTACCCACAAAGTCAGAAATATCGCAGCTAGACTCGCTTGAGGACTTCACGTGTAAATTATGAACTGTTCCCTTGGCAACGAATCAGCTGTGTTTTGCAAACTCTCTTCTTCCTTAGGGTGGGTAGGTTTTATTTGACGATTATTTTCACAAGTTCAATCATTTCGCATAAACCACAATATCCTTGCATAATTATACTCAAGATTTTAGAACACGTTTAGAAAAAGCTACATGTACTCAGTTTTACTACTATATTTTCCCTTTGGAGAGAATGTTTATAATCGATCAAGTTTCTCTACCCCACCCTGGTTAGTATCAGTGGAACAACTTCGTCGCCCGAGCTGATGGTCAAAGAGACCTAGTTTGTCTTTTCCCCGCAGAGATGTGAGAAATACCAATTTTTTTTGTTGTTGTATGACTGACTCCATTTCCAGAATGAATCAACTTCAAAGCCTTCTTCATGATTCTTTGATTGCAACGGGTCACGTTCAACATTGTGCCATAATTCGACGAAAAGACACTTCTCTCCGAGCTAGCACTGTTGGATTTTCGGTAAGAATATCCTACTTGTTGCAGAGATTATAGACTAAGAGGAAGACAAATTACTTCAAAATGTGTTTCTGTAACTGTTGATTAATGCGACGGAAGGCTGTAAAAGCCCTTTAATTGTGGACAACAATGTTGAAGCGCATTTTTTGTGTTTGAACGGTAATAAAATTATTTGCAGTTCGTAACGGTGCAGTTGTAAGGCTCTGTATGGCAACCACGCAAATTCCTCCCCATGTTTTATTGTTCTTCTTCGTCATCATTGTCATATAGCTTTGCCTCCAGAAAGAGGGAAATTGACAAGAAATTAAAATGGCAGTCTTTTGAAGGGGGTGAATTTCTCTTTTCGGGGGAGGGGTAGCTGGATGGAGTTAATGGAGCTCCTAGATTTTCGTCAAGTTCCCCGACTGTTTTAAGGTCGGCACACACGAGTGGACTAGTCCCTGGGACTAGTCCATGCGACTAGTCCCCGCGACAAGTCTTTGAAGGGTTTACACGAGGGGACAGGTAGCAGCGACTAGTCCCTTAAGGCGTTCACAGGAGGGCACTCAATTGCACGAGAACATAGGAAAATTAAGAGGCAAAAGATGTTTCTTAGTCTGGGGCGTTACACGAAAACAAGAAAATTTGGTAACTTTTCATTGTAGCACTATTAAACATCAACGCAAATGAACTGCACTTATTCAGTCGGATTATTCATGCTTTTACGTGTGCCGTTTTTGTTTTTTTTATTTTTAACAGACACAGAGTCAAATAGGGTAAAAATTCCATCAAAACGGCTCCAAGACATCTGTATATGTTAACAAAACTAGAAATAGTTTTTTATTCTTCAGTTGTAGAAATCTAGAATTCAGGGAAAATTCATAGAAACTGAAATGTTTACAAATACCGGAAGTCACGCATCATACTAACCCGTGATTGGCTTATTTACCGTTTAGTCGCAGGGACTGGTCGCACAAACAGTTCACACGAAAGGACAAACATTTGTTTCATGCGACAAGTCCCTGCGACTGGTCGCATGAATTCAAACCAGTTTGAATTTGTGCGACCAGTCACAGGGACCAAATTTTCGTCCCTGCGACTACAGAAATGTGTAGTTCACACGAAGGGACTAGGCACATGAAACCGGTCGCTGGGACTAGTCGCATGAAACTGGTCACTGGGACTAGTCACAGGGACTAGTCCCATCGTGTGTTCCGACCTTTACACTTCTCTTTCAATCTCTATAATACAGATTTAAAATCAGTTTCCCCTGCAACAGAAGTGAGCCAGATGGAAGGTTAACCTGCATCATTCAATCTGGAGTTTGGCTTTCTTATTAAACAAGTGTATCTTACTCTTCCACTGCTTTTATTCTAAATATTTGTGTGTATGGTGCACATATTTTGTTTGCTTTTTTTCTTTTTCAGCCATCTTTGGACAATATACATGCCTTGGTTCATTCTTTTACAAACAGTGCTCATGCCAGAAGGGAGGGCCTCAAATTCCAGGATACAGTCTATGAATGCGTCAGGGCTGATAGATTCTCTGTATATGCAAAACATGTGCGTTAATATCTTGCCCTCTTTTTATAAAAATAAAATGATGAAAATCACTTGGCTATCAGGTATTATTAAAAACTGGATCATTGCATAATGCAATTCAAGACTTTTTATTGACTTAGCCATTATGGTATATGAGCCAATATACCATAATCTAATATCTGTACATTGTAACATCCAGTTTCTTCTTACAAAATAAAGTCGAGAAGATTTGTCTAATATCTTGGGGGTGTTTTTTTTAATAAAACAATTATTCCACTCTTGCTTTTTAGATATGAGATGATTATAGTCAACTCAGTGCTTCGCGCCTCGTTGGCTATCTATCATCTTATATCCAATGCGCACTCGTAGAATAATTGTTAACTAGTATGCCTAAAGCTTCAACTTATATGCAGATCCTCTAGCCATGCATGCAGAGTGGCAACCATTTCCAATTACAAAATGGGTGTCAGGTTCATGATTGCTTATGTTTTTTTTTTTTATTATTATCCCACATAATCTTTGACATGTCAGTATATTCCCACTTGACTTGTGAACGCATCAGTTTTTAGAAAGTTATTTAAATTAAAATATTCTGGAATAGATAATTCTCAACAGACACCTGCCACACTTGTTTAAGAAGTTTGTTCCAAATGTTAAGCTTGTCCCAGTTATCCATGTTGAATTATGGCTTCTGTGGAAGTAAAACTGACAAGTCTTGAAGATTAGTTTCTTGAGAACAACCTTGAACCTGCTATATTATTTATCTTTTCTTGCGACAAGTGCTACTTAATTCACTTGATTTATCTGCTTTTAATAATTGTTAGTTAGATCAAAGAAGATTGCTGTTAGTAGTAACAGGTTTTTTTCTTGAAAAGGAAAACAGTGGAATAATCTTGGTACGCACTGCAACTTTGCTGTTGGTGGGCACGTATACACCAGAAATGAGTCCAAGTATTTGTGTTGAGGCAGTTGAAAAACTAGGTTAGTTTTGTTAACTCTTCATGTTAAAAGTGACAGATAATTCAATTTTTTTGGCAAAATTTTAAGAACTTGAGCCCCTCACTTGCCTCCAGTGATCAAGATTGCCACAAAGACTAATGTTTCTTGTATCTTTTTTGCTCTGCAGCGGACTATTTCAGGGAAAAAGGAAAGTGACTTGTGCAACACCCATTTCTACCCTATACATTTATAAACAATATCAGGCAACTGGCTGTTATCAATAACAATTGTCCCTGCCAATTCACAAGGCAGAATGTTCCAGAGCCGGGTTGTTCAAAGTTGTGTTAAGATAACCCAGGGTTAGTGTGAAATTTGATTTCAGATCTGAAAGCTCTGAAAGAAAACTCAGTTTAATTTCATTTGTCCACAATTTGATGATGGAATGTCCTAAAAAAAAACTAGGACAAATTATCCCAAAATGGCTTTTGATTAGAGAAATTTAGAAACCTGGATAAAAAATTTAACCCTGGGTTAGAGCTAATAGGCCTTTGAACAACTGGGCCCAGGACTTTTCTTTGAAATTTGTTTTTGGCACAGTTAGATTGATCTGGCACACATTTCTTGCAGGAACAAAAATGTGATTCAAATTAGAGAACAGTATCAGGGAAGTGGGAGAGGAAAACAATTTGCTACCAATATTCACAAAAAGATTAAGTGTTTTCAGCACAACGTAACCAAGGAAATAGTTTATTTATTTTAATTTGACTACTTTATAATAACCTCTTAGAATGATATAATAAATGTAATAGAAAGTGTAGTTTTTACCTTAAATGGCATTTTTACACAATTCCTTGGTGATTTACAGTGAGTTTGTTAAAGAAAAACCCAAAAAAACAATGTTTATTGGTATTCTTGTGGTGTTTTTAATTCTGGTGAGCTATTGCTTAAGAGATCCCTCTTGGGTCTATGTAAAAACCATTAATTTTACCCTACTGTGACTTCATAAATTGAAATCTCCTGAAATGACACCTAGTTTTGCTTCAGAAAAATAGTCAATTGTAGCCACTTAGTCAACTCTTTTGTCAAAAACTTCCGTGTAAAAGTTTGAATTTATGAAATAATATGAACCCTAATAACAAAACTTGAAGGAACAAGGCTTATAGAAGAAACAAAAAATGTCAAAAATATGACAATGATACAAATTATTGAGATTATGAGAGGATCGAAGGAAATTTAAAGCCACCTGAAGTGCACAATGAAGAACAAAAATAATTGTTGATATAGAACTAAAATGGTGCACAGAATAAAAGCCCTCACTGATTGTTGATGTCTTCTGTTTAGGAAGAAGAATGTAGAAGTCAGTCAGGATTCACTTGCCATAGGCTTTTTTCCTCACTCTTCAATTTGGCCACAAGTAGACCCTCTTTCCCAGAGTAATGAATCATGAAAGGCATTACAAACCAAAAACGAAAAAAGTTTCTAAAACAAATTTAAGTAAACCAACTTATAACAAGTATTTATAATTCACTTCTCCCATTAGCTGGCCACAAAATGCACTCCATCATTTCTTCCTCGATGAAATTTCCTCAAAAAATACAAAATGACATAAACCAGTTATAAAATCTTATAATTCATTTTCAGCATCACCAGAGTTCTCAGTAGCCCCTCAGCTTGACTCACAAACTGTGATAACTCTTGCTCCTACCCTGCCACCATTTGTAGACCAAAATAAAAATTACAGTCAGAAAAGCGCCCAAGATTATTCCTCCAACAAATGATGCACCATCAAACTTTCTACTGCTTTCCTTTGTGGCAGGCTCGCTAGTTTTAGCAGCAACAGAAGTTGTTAATGTTGCTTGAGTCGGTACAGTTGAACTAGAGCTTGGGGAAGGCCTGGACTTGGTTGGTGATATAGACCCTGTAGTGCCCACAGGTGTACTAGTTATGGTATAAGCTTTCACAACACTCGTGAGTGTTGTGTTACTTTGACCTGAAACAACTGAAAAGAAAAAAACAAAATATATCTAGTACAGACTGCCTTAAATTACAGCTTGCCACAGAATATTCTAGGGAATCGGTGATATTCAAGAGAACAAAATATTTTGAATCCAACTGCTAAAACTTCCTCCGAGGGGTCACAGGATTTATTCCCTGACAAAAAAAAAAGTATTATATATTATATAATTACACTATTTAACAATTATTTGCCGAAGGCAAGGTGAATATCATGGAATAATCCCCGAGACAAATTCGAGAGGATTATTGGACAACATTCACCGAACCTGAGGCAAATAATTGTTTTAGTATAATTTCAGAGCTGAACAACAGAGAAATTTCTAAAATCATAACATTTTAGTAACATTTATTAACACTTTAGTTTAACATTTTATATAAACCGCGCGGAGCGGCTTATATAGCGTCACATAAGGAACCGCTCCACCAATCACATTGCTGGAAACTCTTTGTTCAGCTCTGAAATTATACTAATATTAAATATACTATTCACTCAAAGATGCAAATGTGAATTAAGTCTGAAATGCACTATGAAGTTTTGAATTTTGCATCTGTGCCACAAATTTAAACCAGTAGCAATAACCATTGGTAAAGAATGCTAGAGTGCACGAACTTCTTACAATCATTAATATGCCACCAATCTGATCTAAGTGCATGTATGTAAAGATATTATGTCATGCTCTTATGCTGCATCCTTTTTGGAACGGGAGGGACAATCTATCCCACGAAAGAGCAAAAGTTACTTCCAACAGAAATAAATGAATCAAAACTTTTTTGAAAAACAGAATAGAAACTTCACACTAAGTTATGCCAGCATAGTCAACTAGCTGCAACCATTAAAAATCCTGGTTTAAAATGAACACTAGAGAGTAAATTGGTAGAGCAAGAACTGGATAGTGTTCAGACACTTTGTGGTAAATCCACTAAGCTGATAAGGTAAACAAAAGGCTGCAGGTATCCTTTGATGTGACAACCATTAAAAATATTTATATTTTTCACCCAAAGAAAGAAATTGTTTTTATCTGATAAAATTGAACCCCAAAAATTGGGATTACACCAAAGATATGTTCAGATTTTTATGGTCACACTGGATAAGTGTTTAGTTAGAGGTGTGAACAAGATAAGTTCGATTATCGACGTGGAAATAACACTTACGAATGTTATAGAATTATTCATAAACTACTGTGTTTGTGTATGTTCAGGGCTAATTAAAACAATCGAAAACCTCATCTACATCTACTTTATTACTCTTCAACGCTATTACACATCAAGAAGAGATAAAAGAATAAAAATATAAAAATATAAACATAGCTAATAAAAATAATAAATAAATAAAATATGTTATTAACAATATAGCTATGCTTAAACTTAGAAAAATTTTGTACTGCAAAAAGCTGAATAATTAAGTGATCTAGTTCCAGGTAATAAACAGTTCCAGTCCCTTATAGTTCTCGGAAAGAAACCATACTTGTAGTAGTCATGATGTACAGGTGGTTGACTAAATGAATTCGTCGAGTAATTTCTAGTTTTCCTAATAGACAATTCATAATAAGACGGGATAGGCAAAGCAATACTGACCTAGTTCCTTCCACATTTGAGAAGATTTGTTAAGATGTTATGAATACTCGGGCTATCATTTTTATTTCGTTTAAACATCGCTCTGATGAATAAAATGGTCCCCACGACAAATCAAGACTCCAAAAAGTTGTTGCATCAAATTAGTAACATGCGATGAACTTGCACCATAAATACAGATGCATTTTAACCTGTTTCAAGAAAGCTTAACCGAAGTACGATATATAATTGACAGAATTACGCCTATTTTAGTGAACGAATAATTTCTCTCATATCTTTTCGATCAGTGCGGCTATGTAGCACAAGCGAGCATACAATTCTTAGTTACAAATCGAACAGTCGATTATTGATTCGGTTCAGATTTCGGGGTCCATTGATCCGACTCAACTACTTTAATGGTTGTTTGTGAACTAATTTAAATGGTAATAATAAGAAAAAATAGTAGAAATCGCTTAATCTCGACTTCCTGAATATCAAATTGGGCCACCGACACAGTTGACGCGTCGATTTGACAGAAGGCGTACATACCTGATGAATGTATTAAAAACACTGCAATCACCAGATATCCCAAAAAATGCATCTCAGTTTGACGTAAAACACACATCAAGGCCATCTTTGGAAAGGAAAAACAAGTTAGCACACACCAAACTGTCGCACTCTCCGTTTCCTCGAATGCTATCGGAATAGTATTAAATTTCCATTTGATACGTGAAACAGAGGTGGGTATGGGGAGGGTGGGGAGTAACGAAAACTAAAACTCCGACGCTTGTGCCAAAAATAAGCTCAAATATTGTTTTTTTTATATTTTATTTCTTAATATCCAGTAGTTTTTTTTTTTTTTTTCATTACAAATAAATGTCTCCAGTATTTTAAGGTCAAAAGTGTATTCACTTGTATAGAAAATTAACCATCCCCTGCCCAGACGGGAGTGAATTGGTGGTGCCACGTAAGCCGAAGGCTTGTACTGTGAAAGTCTTGTACCGTAGTATACCTTAGTTGTGAAACTGAAACCGCTGGTCAACATACACATCTGAAATAGTGAAATAATCGGGTAACAGAAATGAGAATGTAAACTTTTCCAAGATCTAAAGAGTAGTGCTTGCAACACGCCTGTATGGTTCATCTAATAAGCTGAGATTCGCCCAGATTAATCAGGATTTGGATAACTTTTGTCTCATGATATTGCCAAGTTATTCGGTTGAGGACTAATAGCGGGGCTCCCACGCGCGCTTCGCGCCTGTAATCAAGTTTTAATGTCTTTACGTGGGGCATGGTTGCCCATATTGCCCGAGCCAGAGGCTCATGTAAACGCAAGACAACAACCCACCCATCCCACCCCAGGGGAGGACATCCATCACACAGTAATCTCGTGCGTGGGAAATTAAGGTCTCCTACCCTAATCCTGCAGGAGACGGGACCTCCATTTATTCGTCCCTATCCGAGAAGACTAGAATATCTAAACCATTTCTTGATGTTATAGAAAGGCAGCATATTCTACTCAATTATTTTAAGACCTTGAGTGTTGGTCCGGCCGGGACTCGAACCCTCGA